ATCTGAGAGCTTTCCAAGGCCCTTCACCTCCACCCGAGGACGAGGACGGAGGCCGTAGCCGCCAATTTGCTACTTCGCGGGCAGAGCAGAGGCTTTGGGTCCGCAGGCAGCGTAGGCACGGACCGCTCCTCCGGCAGGGCACCAAGCCCGCGTGCCTGGCACGGAGTGAGGGCTCAAAATATTTCTTAAAAGAGAGCAGAAGTCTCCAGGGCCAGCTCAGAGGCGAGGTGATGTGTGCACACTGTGTTTCCCAGGAGGGAGGGTCAAGTGCACCTGGGTGGCCAATGGGGTCATCTCATGGGTCTCCTCTCACCTCCAGCAAAGAAGGGCATGCCGTACTATCACTTAGTTGTAAGTTGGTTTAAAAAATACTTACTTAACTTCTAATATATCTAGAGTGCTCTCTTAAAATAATGTCGATCCCTTAAGACCAGTGGACCCCAGAGCCTGTCTGGGGTGCCTCCTGGAGCCCCGGGCGCTGGTGCTGGTTCTTAGGAGGCCAGCGCTCATCGGTGGGAAGGACCCTCCGGTCACTCGCTCTGTGGGGGCTCCGAGAAGGATTGGGGGAAAGCTGGGGTCTCAGAGGGCCTGGGGTTTCCTGGGCCCCGTGCCTGTGCCCTGTGGGGACAGGAAGAGGCCCATCATTGAGTGGGGGGGCCCCCAGCTGGCTGACGTCAGCCCATGGCGGCTCACTGGGGACAGGAACTAGTCAAACACTTCCTAAACTTTTCGGTCACATTGGTTTGCTCGGAAAGACTCGACATAAACTTTTCCTTCCCGTCAGTGTTATCACAGGGAAGAAAGGCCGCCCAGCGAACTGTCACGAGAGGTAACCTGGGGTGGGCTGGGGAGGTCCCTGCACTTGGAAGTAAATGGCTCCGAACTGCTCTGCACGGAGCTTTCCTTCTGGGTCTAGTGTGTGCTCGGTTTGTTCGTGTGCTGCTTCCCCGAACCACCGGTGACGCCAGCAAGTGTGAAAGTGTTTCACAGCATCACAGACATCGCTGGTGTTCACTGCGCCAGCCCCTCTCACCGTCCCCGCCCCTGTGTTGCTTTGATTGGCTGATCCCAGTCACCACACTTATCAGGACAGTGTGTGCAGCAAAAGTGCAACCCGCTCCGTGGGTGGGCAACGCGGAGTCGTGGGTGGGCCCCTCCTCGAGCAGACCTAAGGCCCCGAGCTCCGTTCCGAGAGCTCCTGGTTTGCTTCTGGGGTACACCTGGTTGGGGTCTGTCTTCAGGATGCATGACTCCTGAGTCAGTGCGATTTTTATCTCTTCCTAAGAGAAGGAAATCATTTCCCCAAATTAATGGGGAACGTGAGACCAGGGTAGTCAGAGAGAATTAAAGTGCTGATTACAACTTTACCTGCCCCGCCCCCCATGTGCCCACAGGGCTCAGTTTCTGCCGTGTTCTGTTCGTCTTTATTTTCTTACTTTCTATCTAGAGCGACAATCCCCGCCTCCCCCTCCCCAACACACTCCAAAATAAAAATCGGAACAGAGTTTCTCAGCTGAGCAACCTATCAATCTGTCAATTTATCGGGGAACAGCCAGCCACGCAGCCATTTTAATCGATGGGATAAACAAAAGTGAGACTTCTCAGGCGTCTCAGACGAGTACCCACCTGACAGTTCGGGTCAGTGTGGGGCCTGTGGTGACGATGGAAAAGCCCAGAAATGGGTCTAGTGTGAGCTGTCTCCGGGGAGAAAGCCCAGAACGGTGGGCACTCGGGGGACTGGGCAGGAGGCCTGTGGGGACCACTGTGACACAGGCTTAGAGAAGCAGGGGCAGCTGAGAAGGGCAGGGAGTGGATTGTGTCCCGAGGGGTGGGGGCTGCGAGCTGGCTAGCAGGGGTTAGGGGTTAACCACCCGCTCTCGGCCATTTGAAAGATGACATTATTGAAGCTCTGAAGGACAAGGAGGCTCGTCTCAGGCCACCGAGCAAACAGGTGTGCAAGAGATGGCCAACAGCCAGACTTCTGGTTCCATACTCAGTCCTTGTTCCTGAAACCAGCAACTGGGCATACCTGTAAAACCCCGCGTGGGCCAGGGCTTCCAGCAGCTTCCCTCCCCAGCCCCGGGGCCTGGGCCCGTCAGCCTTGGCAGACTGCTCAATGGCTGTGCGCCTCTCCTGGCTGGTAACCCGACCGCCAAGAACGCTCTCTGAGCTCCTTGACAGAAGGGTCTGAGCCCCCCAACCCAGGGCATCGGGAAGCAGCACCACAGAGGTGGCAGTCTGCACCGGACACGGGGCGCTTCTGTCACTCACCCGGGTGGAGTTTGTCCGCAGTCCAGCCCGCTAAGCTGAGAGAACCTGTTCCGTCTTCTATTGTCTTTCCTTATCGAAAACATCCGGGGACTGGGTCAACCCTGTCTCCTATCACCTCTTTTCAGACTGTCTCTACAGCCCTCGTTCATCACCAGCTACTTGTAATTTTTACTAAAAGAAAAGTGCCATTAGAAGCGGGAGGTGCTTAGACATCACCCAGGCTCCGAGAGGGGAAGCGCTTTCCCCGTCACACAGCAATGAGGTGAAAGATCAGAGCCAGGCATCCGTAAGTCCTGGTAGCCCCAGGTTTTGTGTTGTTTCGGTTTTCCCTGTACACTCTTATCTGTTAGGATGCCTTTGGCTTCACGTAACTGACCAGATATCCCTGGAAGTACAGAGGCAGGGTGGCTTGTTTGGTGGCTCCCCCTCCAGGTTCTCAGCAGAGTCCTGTGTGTACCCTCTTTGCCTTCTGGCTTTGTCCTGGAGTCCCTCTGTCACTGGGCAAGCAGCCGTGGGTGTCCCTGGTGTGGGCACCTCCCTGCCCAGGACATCCGGAGGATGGGAGAGGGCTGCGCCCCAACATTCCAGCCAAGAGCCCAAAGTTCACCCTCACTGGGTCACTCACATCACGTGCCCCGTCTTGACCAGCTCTGGGGCGGAGCTCACTGCCTGCCGACTGGGTCAGGCCGGTCTCCTGACCAGTCACTAGTGGGGCGAGTGGGGAAGTGAGGCTATCCTGCCCCAGTCAGAGCCCCCCTTGGTGCTGGGGACCAGTCCTCTGTCCCTGAGGCATGTGGGCTGCCTGAGGGAGGGGGAGATACCTGGAAAAAATGAAATTTTGTTAGAAAGATGGAGGGGACTTTGGGAAACAAGGAGTGGCATGTACTGGAACCTTCACACGCTAGAACACGAGCTCCTTGGGGACTCCTCTCGCCCAGATGATGGCTGCACCCACAGGGCCCAGAACAGAGGGTTTGGGGTGCTCCCGGGGGCCCTCCCTGTGCTGGTTTTCAGTTGTTCCCTGACTCAGTCAACCAGAAAGAGCCCCCTCCACTTAGCCCCAAGGGGCCTGCTGGTGCTGGGCCCAGGGACCCTACGCTGGTGGTGCGGTGAGGTTGACTGCCAACAGCAGACGGGTGTCCTCTCCACCTCGGAAACCTGCCCTCCTCTGATAGGAGGTGACTGTCTCAGGAAATCACACCCCAGGCCTTGCACCTTGCACCCTGGGGACCACTGACTGACCGATCCCCTCTGAAAAGCCAGGACACTTGCTCCCCAGCTCAATGCCACCCTGTGCTTCACGCTGCAGGGCCCACCCCCTGCTGATCGCATCAAGGCCAGATGTCACCTGGAACCAGCCCCACCCTTTCTCGGCTCCTCCCCTTTCCTGGCCTCTTCCCTCACCTCCCCAGGGGCTCCTCCTAAGAGCAGTCCCTCAATAAATGATGCATGAGCACGCCAGAATCCTCAGCTCAGGTTCTGCGTCTTGGGAACCAGGCAAAGACAGCCACGAACAGTCTTCACTGTTGAGGGCAGGCTCAAATACATGAAGGTGTCAATTCCAGGGAAGAAAACATAGTAAGTGGTAACAGAGGACCAAGCAAAGAAATCTGCCTTTATTTGGAATAAAAACCATTGCCAGAAGCACGGCCACCCAGAGAAATCAACACACTTCTTGGAAGAACACACTTTTGGCAGCTCTCTGCAGCATTAGGGCTAGAGGCTGGGGGGAAAATAAAAAATGAAATTTCTGTCCCCCAGAGCTCACATGCTGGGAGATGTCAGAGCTGAGTGATGGTGAAAGAGCAGCAGCCCAGGAGGCAGGCAGACCGGGAGTGCCCTGTCTGTAACACTGCCCCCTTCTCTTCCTGCAAAGGGGAGCAGGGAAGGATTAGTAGAGACCTGGGTTCTTCTGGGGTACATATGCCCCATTTACAGACCATCTGATCTCAGAAAAAGGGCTTAATTTCTGCATATTAGTCAAGATTCTGGGGTTGTAAGGGAGAAAAGTCCAACTCAAATCAGCCGACCATGAGAAGGAAGCTTATTGGCTCATAATTTGGAAAAATAGAGATGGTTGAGCTTCAGATAAAGCTTGATCCAGGAACTCCAAAGATGATACCAAGTATTTCTCCCCATTTCTCTCTTTCAATCTTAGTCTCTCTCTCCTCTCTCCTTCTAATGTGAAAATCCCGGCCACACTCAGTTACAGGCTACATCATTAAGCCAGACACCTCAGAATTAACCTGTACATTCTTAAGAGGCTTGTGTATTCTTGGGGAAAGATGCTGATTGATCTGATTTGGGGCAGTCTCATTCCTTCACCCATCAGTGAGGCAGCAGATTTAGTATTGTGGTGGCCTAGCCTGGGTCACATGTCTGCAATGTGGCATTTTCTTATTGTCATCCAGTGGAGTGTAGGGGACAGCGCCTCAAAGGAATTGAGATTCTGTCACCATAAGATGGGGAAGATGGTACAAAAACAAGAACTGTTTTCTATGCTTAGGCCTCTCACTATGAAACGGGACAAACGCTTCTTATTCCCGGGGTGATTGTGTAGGTTAAATGCTATCACGAATGTCAAGGCACCACTAAACCACCGTGCGCCGCGCATGCCAGCGCTGCATTGCTTCTTTCATCCGGTCTTCCCTATGGCACAACGGGGCTCTTCTTTTCTTTTTCCCTGCTAACCTCAGGCCTATTCCTCAACAGGACAATCTCCAAGGAACATGAACCCCACACTGGGCCTGGGCCTGCTTCTGGCTGGCCTCCTCACTGTGGAAGGTCTTGTGAAGCCCAACTTTTCTCCAGAGAATCACGAAGTGGTGAGCCGGGCCCAAGCACAGGAGGGAAGGACGGCAGCCCAGCAGCTCTCCAGGCGGAACATGGACTTTGGCTTCAAGCTGTACAAGAAGCTGGCCTCCGCTAGCCCCAGCAACAACATCCTCTTCTCCCCCGTGAGCATCTCTACAGCCTTTTCCATGCTGTGTCTGGGTGCCCAGAACTCCACGCTGGCCGAGATCCAGCAGGGCTTCAACTTCAGGAATGTGCCGGCGAAAGAGCTTCATGAGGGTTTCCATTACCTGATCCAGAGACTGAACCAGGACAACCAGAACCTGCATATGCACCTCAAGAACATCTTGTTCATTGACAAGAGGCTGCGGCCAGATAAGAGGTTTATAACAAACGCCAAGAACCTGTACAATGCAGAAAGCATCCCCACCAACTTCCAGAACAAGGAAAATGCTCGGAAGAAAATCAATGACTATGTCAGTCAGAAAACCCAGGGGAAAATCAACAACCTGATCAGGAATATAGATCCAGGCTCCGTGATGCTTCTTATCAACTGTATTTTGTTTCGAGGTAAGGCTTGGGGCAGCTTAGCATGGAAGACAGCATGACAAGTAGACCTGGATTAAAAACCAGGGTTGCTTGCTCTGTGACCTTGAGTACATCAGTGATTAGTCTCTTGGGGACTCACTTTTACTATGGAAAAAATGAGTATCTTGCTACATAACTCACAGGGTAGTCATTGGTATTCAAAGCGAAAAATGTATGCAGAGTGAACTTTGTGAAGTCTAAATCACTCTCTATGTGTACGTTTCCATTATTACTGATCACCCCGAGGCAGCATTGGTTGTAGAAGCGGTAGTGACACTCTCTTCCTCATTTCTTAGAAAAGGAAAGTGAAATTCAGAGAGACATTAATTAACTTACTCAGTTTCAAAGCCAGTCAATGAAAGTCAGGACCCAAACCCACTTTTCTTGGCCCAAGGGCTGTGCATGTTTTATCAGCCTGAGTGGATGCTCAGGGTGGTGATGGCATTGTGGGTGATGGTGATGATGGTCACTTCGGTGGGTGCCTCGGTCTCCCTCCTATCAAACCAGGTAGATTCCCAAGTCTGAGGGTAAGAGGCTGAAAAAGAAGGTGGAAGAATATCCCAAATCCAAGCATTATCACCCCACCATACACACCTGCATGTACGCTCAGAGGTCAGCCAACATAGAGGAGAACCAGAGGCAACGGCCCATGGGTCAGACAAGATTACAGCTGGACTGTTAGCAACATGGCTCTGAGTGTGGAAGTTCAGCTCTCCCGAAATCCACAGGGAGACTGATGGCAACAGAAGAAGAAAAGAGTGGTAATGGCAGACCAAAATCTCAGCCTACCCAGGACAGAAGGAGAGAAGGGAATCCGGAAAGACTCTGAGTCCCCACACCCCCTAGATTACAACAAGATCAATAGTGGAGATAATGCTGCTGATGACTAGCATCCACCCAGCACTTACTATACACAGTCTCACAGCAGCCCTATGAGGTGCCCATCCATATCCCCATTTTGCACATAAGGACACTGAACCCCAGGGAGATTAAGTCCAAGGTTATCCATCTAGAACCACAGAGCTAGAGCTTGAACTCTGGGGGCTCTGAAGGTAGCGAGTATAAAAAGACCCAGGTCTGAATTTATGCCCAACAACACCAAAGAGTCCTCAGGATAGAAAAGGAGGGGTCCCAACACCCAGCTTTGGGGGTTCACAGCTCTTCAGCAGGCTCCAAAGGGCAGACTGTCCCATCATTTTTCTTAGCCCCATGTGAGAGCAGCTCCTCCAGGCCTTAGAAGAAAGCTGAGCAGTTTTTACTCATATCACCCCAACAGCCCCGCTAAGTAAGTATAATCTAGTCCCTCTGCTGAGACTCTGTCCACGGGCTTTCTCACCCTCAGAAGATTCTGGGCTTCGGTCTGTCTGAAGCTCCTGGGGAGTGGGTCATCAGGTCCCAGCCCGCCCCGACAGCAGTCCCGAGGGCATGTCATGAGGACAGGGACTCCTAGAGCTCTGTCCCGACACCCCAGGGTTTCCAGACCCTTTCTGCGATTGCATGTAGACAGAGACCGGGGCTCAGCTGGACTCGGTTGCTGCTTCTCCTTCAGGACACTCACGTCACTTTGTCTCTCTTCGATCTTAAGCCAGGTGGAAGCATGAGTTTGACCCAAAATTAACCAAGGAGGAAGATTTTGCTGTGAATGAAAACAAGCCAGTGAAGGTGCCCATGATGCTCCGCGGGGGCATGTACGAAGTCGGCCAGGACGACCGGCTGGCCTGCACTGTGCTGGCCATGCCCTACTATAACAACATCACGGCCCTCTTCGTCCTGCCCGAAGAAGGCAGGATGGGGCAGGTGGAGGAGGCCTTGGGGCTGGACACGCTTGACCGGTGGAAAAACTTGCTGACACGGAGGTAAAGGCAGGGGCGGGGGGGCGGTGGCAGGTACCTGTGGCTTCTTTCTTCTTGCTCCTCCTCCTCCTCCCACTCTCTTCTCCTTTTCTATCCCGGATTTCCTGAGCTCTTACCCCATCCCCTTCTCCCAGTTAGCCCTGACAATGTCACACAGGGCTGCAGCCCTGGGGCCCACCATGGGGCTTCATGGTCCGCGGGCCGAGCCCTTCTACAGCCCCCAGAGCTGAGGTTGTCACCAGGGTGCCACTAACGACATGCAGATATTTCTGGGGGACCGTTCTCGTCACTCTGGTTTCAGGAGAGGGTCCATACTCCCCCTTTTGCTCCTCCACCCAGTGTGGGAAAGGCCCTGTGAGATTTCCTGCAGGCAGCCCAAGCCTCACTGGAGGTTTGGGGACGACAGAGGCCCAGGGACACCGGGCATGGAAGCGGCTTCTTGTGGAGTCCAAGTGCAGGCTCTCTGAGGGTCTCTTTCAGAATACGCCTCCCTGGTTTCTCCCCCAACACACGAGGACTTCTCCCAGCGTCTCCGTGCTCCAGGCCAGGCCTCCCTCTGGGAGGACTTGGAGAGCAGAGTCCCCCCACCCAGGCCAGGCCCTCCTCCCCAGACATGTGCGGCCCCAAATGACTGAGAGCAGTGAAGTCCACCCCGTCATGGGAACCGCCATACCCTCCCTCAGGGAAGGAGTCTTGTCCATGGTCTGGGGGGGGGGAGTACATTTCGTCAGAAGGTGACAGGCCCACCTTCCTGCCCTCTGAGCTCCTGCGGGCTGGGGGACCAGTTGCTCAGACCACTCCTCCAGCCCTTCATCGAAGAGGGCAGGGCCCCTCCCGACCAGAAGGCCTAGGACAAGCCGAAGAGAGCACGCACCCTTTCCCCAGGAGACGTGAGCGAGCCAGCAGACACACACCTAAAAGACACACGCCAGTGGACACACACCCAGCAGCCCTAGGAATTCAAGCCAGCGGTGGCCGGCTTCGGCCTGGAGCCGGCGCTTCAGACAGACTCCTCCTCTGTGTCTGCCCAGTGAGCGGCCTGCTGTGGCGGATTCCCCCAGAAAGGGCTCGGTTTCCCAAAGGCAAACCCAAAGCTCCTGTTCAAAGTTCCAAGGGACCACGCTCAGCCGGGGTTGCCCATCTCACCTCTACCTATTTCAGTAGCCACATTGCAACATCAGCCCCGTTTTCCTGTTTTGACCTGAGCTAAAGCCATCCTCCCCATTGAGGCACTGAAACCTCCTCTCATGGCTCAGGGACATCACCCCAGCTGCTCTCTCTTTTCCTTCCAATATCAGCAAGTGGTCTGCTCTCTACTGAGCCATTTCCATCACACAGGAAGACGCTGCCATTTCTCCCACCACAAAGCAACCTCCTCCTGCCCCCATGGCCCCTGCCACTGCTCTGTTTCTTTGCTCTCCTCGGCAGGTAGGTACCTTGGAGCAGTTGGCCTCTATCCACTGTCCACAGCTCTCCCCTCCCAGCCTCTCCCACACCCACGAGTCGACCGCCTGTGCTTGCCTCCACAGAGCTGTTCATCCCCCAGGTTCCCAGAAAATATCTGTGGGGCTGAGTCTGCTGGTTGGTATCAGACCTGTATTCCTCAGCCCGTCAGCTGCACTTGACCCAGCTGACCACCCCCGCCCCTTCAGAGGCGTCCTTCACCTGGCTTCCAGGGCCCCACCTTCTCTTCACCCCCTTCGTGCCCTCTGTCCCAGCCCCCTGGGCTGCCCCCCAGCCCCACTCCAGGTCTCCGTGGAGTGCCAGGGGCTCACTGCTCAAGCCTCTTTTCCATGGGCATCCGCCCCTCTGCACGGACATCAGGCTCAGGGCGCTCCACGCTGTCTGCGTTACCTGCCACTCTGTCCCTAGTCTCAGCTTTCCCAGACGCCAAGGTCACACGTCTGCCTGCACACCCAGGGTCTCCGTCCCAATGTGTCCGGACTGGTTCCCTGTCGGGAACTCCTCAAGCTTCCATCTCCTTCAGGGGTGAAGCCACCCTTTCAGTTGCTGAAGTTAGAAACTTGGGGTCCCCGTGATCACTCTTCTCACCAGCCCCTCATTCAGTCTGCAGGGGATCCCACAGCTCCACCTGACAATGAGTCTGAGTCTGGTCACCTCCCAGCATCTCTAGGTCTCCAAGCATCTGACTGTAGCGCTGACTTCCAAACGGTCTCCCAACATTTGACTCTGGTCCCTGCCCTTCATCACTGAAAGTGTATTCTTAACAGAGTGGGGAAAAATGATCTTTTTAAACCCTAAGCAAGTCCTTGCCTTCCCTCTGTTCAGAACCCTGTGGCAGCTCCTCATTCCACTTGAAAAATTTTAAAAAACACCTGCCTAATCCCTTTGCCTGGGTCCCTTTGCCTGGGTCTAGATTTGCTCAGATGGTCCCTTTACTCCAGGATTCCCGGTTCCCATTGTCACTCTGCATTTTTCCTGCATCACATGTGACTTTCTTACGCACAGACTGCCCGCCTGTGCGTCCATGCCACGGGTGGTTTTTGATCTGCTGGTTTTAGTGTCTGTCACCCTGCTGAAGTACAAGCTCAGGGGCAGAGATTTTTGCCTGTTCCATCCACAGATGCATCTGAGCATCTAGAAGAGCCCCTGGTACACAGTAGGCACCTAATAAATACTTGCTGAGTGGGTGGGTGAGCGGAAAGGTAGGTTGGGAGTCGCTGGGCCTGTCTCTGGTGTTTAAAGCTGTGACACCGAATGAGATCCCCAGGGAGAGGAAAGAGAAGACCAGGGCCTGAGGCTTGGAGCATCAGAGCGGTGAGGCAGGTGACCAGGTAGAGGAACGAAGGGTGCAGGAGGGAGTGGCTGGTGAAGGAGGAGAAAGCTGGAGGGCATGGACTCGGCTTGGAATGCTTCCAGATGAAAGAACGGGTCAACCGTCTCGGTGCTGGCTGCTGAGCACTCGCTGTTGTATCCAGCGAGCTGAGGCGGCGGCCACTGTAGGAAGAGCTTCCTCGGTGGAATGCAGAGGACACCCTGTGGGTGCAGAGGGCTGAGGCAGTGCGGGGGGAGTGGAGCTCACTGGTAGATACGACTTTTCCTCTGAATGAAAGAAGAGATAAGGGCTGGACGCCCAACCAGCAATTCAGGGCCAACGGAGATGCCTTCGCTTCTGTGTTTTAGGGTAGGGGTGATATAGCCAGTGCTCTGATCCCGAGAATGGCCAAGTAGAACATTCACTGGTGCAGGGCAGAAAGGAAATAGGCAAGAATGGGGTCTTGGATAGGCAAGGAGAAATGGGGTTTGGGGCCAGGAGGACAGCAATGTGGGGCCCCCCAGGTACCTCATGGACACCTGACCACAGGCCCTGGGCAGAGCGGCCCAGCCAGGTCCCAGCCGGTGCACCTGCACCAGGGCCCTCCCTGTCCCAGGCAGCTGCGGCTATCACCATCTTGTTCACACGAGGCGCTTAGAGACCGTTTGCTGCAAGTCACAGAGCTCAGGAGAGGCCAAGTGGGTTTCAACAGCTCTGCCTGGCTTCAGACCTCGTGGCCCTGCTGCCTCTCCCGTCGGGGGTCATGGCTGGCTCGGGGCTGAGCCTGCAGTGGGGAAACCTCAGTAGCTGCAGCAGAAGGGGTCCTGAGACAGTGGGGACTTGAGGACATTTCTGTGGATGGAGGCTCGGAGCAGGTTTGATAAGAAACAGAGACACCTTGAAGAGCATGCATGTTTTGAAGGTTAAGGAACCCTCCTCATTCTGTGGATCAACAGAAAGACCGAGACTTTTAGGGCTGGGAGGACAGATGTCTCATTCACTGTCTGCCCTGGAGCCTGCCCTGGAAAAAGGCAGACCCTTGCCACTCACCTTTGTCACTTCCTACTTTCTAGGGTTGTGGACGTGTCCGTACCCAGGTTCTCCATCCTGGGCACCTACAACCTCAAGAAGATTCTCTCCTATGTGGGTGTCACCAAAATTTTTGAGGAGCGCGGTGAGCTCACCAGGATCGTTCCGAATCAAAACCTGAAAGTGGGCGAGGTGAGGCTGCTTGGCCTGGCAGTTGCCCCCCTTCCCCCTCCAACTCCCACCCCCTGCCACCACTGCAAAGGGAGCCACCATACAGCTCCAGACCAGAGCCATTGTCATGGCAGCTGAGCAAGCTGGGATTCCCCCAACCAGTCAGGCCAAGTTCAAATCCAGCTATGCCCCTACCAGCCACGTGACCCTGGGTGAATCATGAACTTCCCCAAGCCTCATGTTTTTGGTCTTTAATATTAGAACTGAACTCCTGTGCTGTTTTGGAGGTCAATCCCATGAAACAAACCACTGACCAAGGTCCAGGACCTTTGTCTGGCCCAGAACAGGTCCAGCGATGACCCAGGGAGTCACTCAAAGGTGTCACAGGCCCATTAGGACTAAGGGTCTACTGATTAAGAGATGAACAAGCGAAGGGCCTGTGGCCTCCAGCAAGAATAAGCACCTGCCTCTTAGGGACAAGCGAAGAGGGCTAGGGTAGGGTCCCCAGATTCAGCAGTCAGAATATAGGGCACCCAGTTAAATTCAAATTTCAGATACATGATTCTTATTTTTTTAATATAAGTATGTCCGATTATTGCACAGGCTATACTGACACCAAAATATCATTTATCTGAAAATTAAATGTAACTGAATGTCCTATATTTTATCTGGCAACCCTACTTTTAGGTTAAACGGGAATTGAGGGGGAGAGATTTCAACAAGCAGAACTGGGTGTCTTCCACTAGGGGGCAGCATGGCCGAAGGCTGGTGGGAGGCAGGGACTGGCTGGGGCTGCGTGTGGAGGTCAAGTCGCCCGGCCGAGCTGAGGGGTCATCACTGATTCAGATTCATTTTCCAATTCGCAAGAGGAAGAAAAAGAGTTAATAGAATTTTCTCACTTCTAAGGCTTTCCTGCCAGAGACGTCATGTAAACATTCAAAAACATTCAACGGCAGCCACCCCTTTGCCCTGGGCCTTTGTGGGTGGAGTTCACTGGCTTGTTTCCTTCCTCTGTCAGGTGTGCCGAGAGCAGGGATTCTGTCTGTGTGCCACAGCCACTGGCCTGCTAGAAAATGGTTAGAATTTTGCAGACTGGAATGAAATGTGTCAGCATTTCACGGAAGCCCATCAGTTTCCCCCGGGGTTGATCGATTAGTCACAGATGTTGAGGGTATTGGGGTACATCTGGGGTCCAAGTCATCCCCAACAGCTAGCCTGGAATCTGGCTGCCTCTTAACCATCCACCGACCATCTACCAGGCAGGTGAATGGAGAGTGGTGGGGGCTGGGGGCCTAGGGCAGGCCCCCCACCTCCCTGGCTTCTAGCTAGAGCTCAAGACACTGTCAGACATTGTAACTAACCATTGGCACTTTCCTGAAATTTCCAGGGTGGGCAGCAAACCCTGCTCCACTCCCTGGACCCCCACCCCACCCCCATCGCTGATGCCACCCTGCATCATTTTCCCCTTCACCCTGCATCTGCTGGTTGAGTGTCCTTTAAAGAGTGACAGATAACTGGAAGCCCTGGCCGGGCTGGCCCCCGCTGTGACTTCAGTTCGGGACAGCTCCAGGGGAGGCCACCCCCTCTCGAGTGCTCTTTTCGAGGTCAATCCCATGAGCCCCTTGAGTCCCCTGCTCACCCATGGTCCCCAGAAGGTGTGGCAAATGCTGACCTCATTCCCTGTCCCCACAGGCAGTGCACAAGGCCAAGTTGAAGATGGATGAGAAGGGCACAGAGGGCGCCACAGGCTCTGGGATGGGCACGCTGCCCATGGAGAGACCACTGGTCTTCAAGCTGAACAGACCCTTTCTGGTAATGATTGTGGAGAACATCCTGTCCACCGTGCTCTTCTTGGGAAAGATCACTAATCCCACTGGTACATAGGGAGGAGTTCCGGTCTGCTGCAGACCCCAGCCACGGCCTGGGGCTGGCGACGCTTCGTCTCCCTGGGACTGAGACCACAGGACATTCTAATCTATTCCCACATCTTGGCCCCCCCCTTGCCACCCAACAGGCAGCACTGCCGGGCTCTGGGCTTCTGTGCTGAGCCCCCTCCCTGCCCGTACAAATGCTGAGATTAAATACCCCCTCCACCCCCCTGGCTGGCAGAGTTTCCTTCCTCGCAGCAGGCAGAGGACTTTGTGATTTAATAAACACCCTCCACAGGTCTGCTGACTGTTGGTGGATAATCTGAGGATGCTGTGAGCCAAGGTAAGCACCTGGCCTTCAGAGCAAGAGAGAACCGGACTCATCTTAGTGACAAAGTGTCTTTGGAAAAGCCACACAGCCTCCCTGGGCTCCTGCTTCTGTGCTTCTGGGATCAGGACCACAGAGCTCCCCTCGGGGCTCTGAGGCAGCCAGTACACTGCTCAAGAAGAGTTTGTTCACCTTTGTGAGCCCTTGGCCTTGGGTCTTGGGCAAGTGAACTACGAAGGTATCTTCCCAGAGGATCTGCACAGGACCTCTGGGCTCAGCCAGACATCCCGGTGGGTGGGGCTGGCCTGGCAGGAGAAGGATGCCACCTAGCGTGGCAGCGGCTAGAGTTCAATGCCAGGCTTCGTCTGACTGCAGAGCACAAAAAGCAGAGCTTGGTGTTTGAACCTGTTAGCAAGTTCAGCAGTGCCCGGAGTGCCCGGAGACTATCGTGCTGAGTGAAAAAAGCCGGTCAGAGAAAGACAAATACCACATAATTTCACGTAGAGGTGGAATCTAATGAATGAAACACCAAACAAAATAGAAACAGACTCATAGATACAGAGAACAGACTGACAGCTGTCAGAGAGGAGGGCGTTGGTGGTCTGGGTGGGAACAGGTGAAGGGATTAAGACACACACACAGTCTGGTGGTGACCAGAGGGAAGGGGGGTAGAAGAGGGTAAAGGGGGACAAATGGTGATGGAAGGAGACTTGACACAAGATACAGATGAGGTATCATTGAATGTTACACTTGAAACCTATATAATTTTATTAACCAGAGTCACCCCAATTAATTCAAAGAAAGAAAGAAAAAAGGAATGAATGGGATCCATGCATGTGCTTCAGAAAACATGGCCCTGCAGTGCCTGCCTACGACCACTAGTGGGCATCAATGCTCAGGGGGCTACTTACATTCTGAGCATGGGGTTCTAGCATTCCCAGCGCAGATATGGAAACTGAGACTCAGAGGGGTGAAGTGTCTTCCTTGTGACCTCCTGGTTAGTTAGCCACGGGCCTTCAGGTTGGGGCAGGAAGGGAGGGCTTCCACGTGGACCTGCGTGCCTCAGATCCTCTCCAAGGGTTGTCGCTCACTTGGGCACACGTATGTTCAGCAAGCGCCTCCTCCTCCACCCTGGGCACCCCCAGGGCCCTGGACACCCAGTGTGCCCGCCCCCAGGCGGGTGGAGAAGGCGGCTTGGAGAGAGAGGGTTGGGGCTAGTTTGGGGGGTAAGTGCTCAGGCCAGGGAGCACCGGAGTCAGCGGCCCCTCTTAGAGAAGGTGGGAGGCAGGAGGAGGTGGAGACCCTGCACCAGGCACACGCAGGTGGGACGGAGGCTGGGAGTCCCCGCAGAGCGCTTTGCCGACCATCTCCACGGCACCGGCCTGAGCGGGTTGCCGTGGGGGGCAGGGGGACACCAGACGAACATGGAGACCCCAAGTAGCTGTCTCGGGTCTGTGACATATGCAACTGGGGACACGGTGCAGGCAGGAAAGCCACTTACTCAGTGGCCAGGTGACTGGAGCTTGTCAATGAACCCTTCTGAGCCTCGATCCCTCCCTCACTGACTGAAAGGGGGTAATAATATCGACCTCACAGGGCTGAGGAGCCCTGAGGGGCCCTGAGAGGTGGCACAGAAGCTGGGCCTGGCACGTGGGAGGCGCTGGGCAGAGCCACTGTCTGATGCCCCACCCTGAGTACACCAGCTGCTTTCTAAAGGCTGTGCTCCGGGCACTTGTCTTTGCTATTACCAGAACGCTTGCCCCTGCCCGATGAGCTCCTACCCTTCCCTTAACACCCCGCCCACTATGCCCTCTTAATGGAATCATCTCCACCTTTCCACATCTTCCAAGCAGTTTTTAGTAAAGCACTCATCCCCGTGCACCGTGGCAACTCCTGGGTCTGAATGTCCCCTCTACCCCCACGTGGGCTGCATTTAATCTTGCATGACTTGGTGGCTTACCGGGCAGTGGTTTCTGGACTAGTCGCTCATGCCAACAGACGGGGCCCCTCCCTTCAGGGGGTTAATGTCCAGTGGGAGAAACAGCCATGCAGGGAGTAACCGCATGCACCAATCTGTGACCAGAAGCCCCAGGGGTGAAGGACGACGGTTGTGTGCATGGAGAACCGTAACCCAAGGGTCTGACACAGTCTGGGGACTCAGGCAAGGCTCCGGGAGGTTACAACGGGGGAGCTTACCTGTCATCGAACTGTAGGTATTAGTTAGAACTGCATATTCATGTGTTTCTCCCGGTGTGGCTGATAATATCTGAAACACTGGTTGGTCTTTCACCCTGGCCGGGTGGCTCAGTCGGTTGGAGAGTCATCCTTACACCAAAGGGTGCGGGTTCAATCCCCAGTGGGAGCACGCACAGGAGGCAACCCTGCCATGTTTCTCTCTCTCTCCTTTCTCCTCTCAAAACATATCCTCAGGTGAGAATTTAAAATAAAATACTGGCTGGTCACTCACATGGAAAGTGAGCCTAAACTCTAGTGGTTTGTTCATCAGCTTTTTAGCTAATTTTATTCAAAAAGTGACTGCTGCAAATTTTAAATATTTTCCCACTGGTTTCCTGCCTCACAGCTCTGTTTTCATTCTCCACTAGAGAGACAAATTCTGAGGGGAAAAAAGAGGGGGGAGACCCTGGGGTGGGAAACAGAGAGACCCCACCAAGCAGCGGGACAGCACGTGCAAAGGCCCTGGGCTGGCAGGGTGGCTTGGAGGGCGAACTGGAATGAGGTTAAGGTCGCCAGAGCAACGAAATGAGGCAGGAGGCGAGGCGGGACAGGCAGGTCAGGGCCTCGTGGGCCACAGGAGACTGCCGGTCGGTGGCCAAAGAGCTGTGATGAGCTGCTGTGGGGGTTCAGTTGAAGGGTGACCCAGGCACACTCGCCCATTTTGTGTCCCTCTGGCCCCAGTGCCCAGGCCAGTGCCTGTCATGGGGGACGTGCTCGGGGTGTGTTTGCTGAAAAGACGCCTGCCACAGCAATCGCTGACGCCCCGGCCATGGCCGGCCCCCTTCAGAACCCTCCTCTCCCCCGGGAGGGAAGGCTGCGTGCCCGCTTCATCACTGGAGTCTGCAAAACACGCCCTCTGCCCCGCCGCCTCCCGGCACGTGTGCACGCCAGCCCTCCTCCCCACACCTCCCCAGAATGTTCTGCTTGCTCCTCGCTCCTTCCCACACCCACCAGGCCCTCTTAGGTGATACTCACCCTCCTCCTTCTGTGAAGCCTTCCCGGGCCACATGTTTGTGGCCTGACGAATGAATGTATGGATTTCACTCTGGTGTAACCAGCTTACCAGCTGCTTCTCGGAGCCCAGCCCTGTGGGGGTGCTTTCTCCAGCCCTGTGATCCACGCCTCCTTCCAGTTAGTGTGACCATGCCGTTTGGTGACAAAACTGAGGATCGTCCAGGAAGCCACTGAGTGGGGACTCTTTGGGACGACTGTCCATTCAGACAGCAAATACTTGCTGAGCGTCCGCTCCGTGCCAGGGACTACTCTAGGGCTGGAGACACAGCAGTGAGCAAAGCATACAACACTCCCTGTTCTAGTGGACATTCCAGGCAGACAATAAACAACAGGGTGGTGAAGAAGACCGTTCAGTAAAACAGGCCCCACTGGGGAGGCAACACCTCTGTGAGCAGTGACACTCCCCGATGACGATCGATTCCTCGAATCTCCTCTTCGTGGTCTCTGGTGCATAACTGGCCTCTGGAGGAGGAGCCGCCCTGGCAAGGGTGTTATTGGTGATAGGAGAGGGGCTGGCCCCAACCAGGGAGGAAAGCGCCCGACGTCAGGAAGCAGGGTGCAGAGGCCCCTTTGGTGGGAGTCGGCTTGGCTTCCCAAGGAGTGCAGAAGGCTACTCGAGCACATGCAGGGAGTCTGGAGGCTGGCTTCCTGTTTGCCTGGGCTGAGGTCATTCGCGTGGGCACATGCCAGCGGTGACAGGCTGGTGTGCTGGTAAGGGTGGTCACAGGTGAGACGTCCTATTTCCTGGCCCTGCTTTTCCCAGGCGCTGGCTGCGTGCCGATACCCTGGGCCGATACCCTGGGCCGATACCATCTCCTCTCTGGGCCATTGTTTCCCATCTATCTCTACAGCGATGGGGCTGCCCACCCAGCTCAGACAGGACATGGATGCTCATATGGGAAGTGACAGAACTGGCCCGCACACTCTGTCTCTTCATTTCTCCATGCATTCATTTAGTCGACAGGTATTTACTGAGCACCTACTGTGTGCTGGGGCGTGTGTCAGGCATGGAAAACCCCAGCAGGTACTCAGGGTCATAGAGCTGGCTATTCAGGCCCAGACAGGACGGCATTTTCTGCCCTGCTCAGTCACCATGTCAGTGCTCAGGTGTGACAATGGGACTGCAAGGCCACGGCACCCTCTCTCTCTCGGGGAGACACATTCTCCTTTGCTGCTCAGTTCCCCGAGTTTCATTTGTTCATGAACTGCTACCACGACTGTGGCTGAATCCTCACCAGTTTTGTACTATTATTTGTTCAAGGTCAATCTTTCCTCAACTTTAGGAAAACAGAAGAAATTTGTATAAACAGAAAAACTCACACCAAAACCCAGGACACTTGCTGCAGATAGAAGCTAACTGTAAAAATGCGCACAGCAAAACCAACCCGGCGAGTAAATCCCACCAGGCCTGCCCCAAGCCTGAGGCTGGCTCTGTGCTG